ACTCCTTAGTTATCCTTTTGTCCTTAATGTATTTGTAGAATCCCTTTGGATTCTCCTTAACCCTATTTGCCAAAGCTATGTCCCCTTTTTGCACGTATTTTGTTAAATATTTAACAGATATTTTGTATTACTGTCAAAGACAGACATTACAGGCCACCAATGGAGGGCAAACAAGGGACTAAAAGAAGCACAAAACCTAAACCTAAGATCATTAATACCAGCACAGGAAGAATTCCTTGAGGAAATTAAGGGACTGAGATCTAACAAATCTCTAGCACTTTATGGCCTGCATCCTTGGGTTCTGAAAGACATAGCTTTTAAGGTAAATTGAGGGGAATCAGTAGATTCTTTTCATTCACTCATGGGATGTGGATCCTTTTGGCTGGGTCAGCATTTATTGCTCATCCCTAGTTGCCCTTGAGAAGGTGGCAGTAGTGAACTGTCTTTTTCAATTGCTGCAGTCCATTTGCTGTAGGTAGACTCACAATGTCCTTAAGGAGGGAGTTCCAGGATTTTGACCCAGCAACACTGAGGGATTGGTGATATATTTCTTCGACAGGATGGTGAGTGGCTTGGAGGGGAATGTGCAGAGGGTGGTGTTCCCATGTATCTTCTGCTCTTGTCCTTCTATGTGGAAGTGGTTGTGGGTTTGGAAGGTGCTGTCTGAGGAGCCTTGGTGAATTTCTGCAGTGCATCTTGTAGATAATACACACTGCTGCTACTGAGCAGTGGTGGTGCCAAGAGTGAATGTTTATAGATGTGCCACCAATCCAATGAGCAGCTTTGTAGTTGGTGTCACATTTTTTTGACTGTTGTTGGGGCTGCACTCATCCAGGCAAGCGCAGAATATTCCATCATATTCCTGACTTGTGCCTTGTAGATGATGGACAGGTTTTGGGGAGTCAGGAGGTGAGGTACTTGCTGCAGGATTCCCAGCTTCTGACTTGCTATTCTCACTACTGTGTTTATATGGCAAGTCCAGTTCTGTTTCTGGTCAATGGTAAACCCAGGGTGGTAATCGTGAGAGATTCAACCATGGTAATACCATTGTATTTCAGGGGGCAATAGTTTGATTTTCTCTGCTGGAAATGGTCATTACCTTAGAGTTGTCTGGCATGAGTGTCGCTTGCTAATTGTCAGCTCAAGCCTGCATATTGTCCAAATTGCTTCATTTAGAAATGGACTGCTTCAGTATCTGAGGAGTTATGAATGGTGTTGAATATAGTGTAATCATCAGTGAACATCTCCATTTCTGACCTTATGATGGAGGGAAGGTCATTGATGAAGCAGCTAAAGATGATTGGGACTGGGACACTACCCTGAGGAAATCCTGCAGAGATCAGAGATGTCCTGGAGCTGAGATGACTGACCTCCAAACTCAACAACCATTTTCTTTTGTAACACCTATGATTTCAACCAGCAGCGAGTTTTGTCCCGATACCCACTGACTTGAGTTTTACTATAGTCGTTGATGCCACACTTGATATCAAGAGCAGTTACTCTCACCTCCCCTCTTGAATTCAGCTAATTTGTCCGTGGTTGGACCAAAGATGTGATGGGGTCAGATATAGAAGATATTTTCTAATCTACCTGCTATTATACACTTTTGAAGCAGCTGGAACTTGAATCTGAGTCTTCTGGCTCAGAGATAGGGGCACTACTACAGCACTGCAAGAACATTTTCTTTAAATTGACACATTTGGACATGCTATGACACACTTCCAGGACAAGTGGGACTTGAACTCAGGTCTAGAGGTAAAGTGACTGCCACTGCACCACAAGAATCCCTACCATACTTGGATTTCCAAAACATTTTAAATAATGGACCAGAAAAAAATGTTAATGCACAAGGTAAGTTTGAGAGTAATATTCGAGAGTAGAGAGCATGTTGGTTAACAGAGTAGGAAGCAGAGTAGGAATAAATAAGACATTTTCAAGTTGACAGTCTATGATTAGTCCAGTGTCACAAGGATTAGAGTTGAGACCTCAGCTATTTGCAATCTATATTAATAACCAAGACGAAGAGACTAAAAATAACATCTAAGTTTGCTGACAATGCAAAGCTAGGTGAAAAGCTGTAGGGAGGACACAGAGAGGCTGTAATGAGACCGCAACAGATTAAAACAAAACAAAGAACTGTGGATGCCGAAGATCTGAAACAAAAACAGAAATTGTTCCAAAGTTTCTCCAGCAATTTATACTTTTGTAGCAACTAGTTAAGTTCATTGGTCATCTGGCTCACTATTGTCCCTTAAAGAAGGAAATTGCCATTCTTACCTGGTCTGGCTTACATGTGACTCCAGACTCTCAGCAATGTGTTTGACTCTGGGCAATTAGGGACAGGCAATAAATGCTGGCTTAGCTGGTGATGTGCTCATTGCATGAAAGAATTTTTAAAAATAGTATAGCAGATAGACTATAATGCAGAGAATTGAGAGGTTATTTACTGTATTGGAAGGAAAAGAAAAGCACAATGTTTGTGAAAGCTGTGAAAATGTTCATGTACCAAGGGACTTGGATGTCATTTTATAAGGAGCTTAAAGTTCACAATCAGGTACTGCAACCAGGTGGGAAGGCAAATGGCATTTTGACCTATTTTGGAAGGGGACTGGAGTCCAAAAATAAGGAAGTAATTGTACAGGGTTGGAACAGTTTACAGGAGGTTTACTAGACTGAATACCTGAAATAAGTGCGTCGTCTTATGATGAGAGGTTGAACAGGTTGGACTGAATTTAAAGGAATGAGGGGTGATTTGATTGAACTGTTTAAGAAGGACATTATTACATTGGAGAGGGTTCAGAAAAGACTCACCAGGATGATGCTGGGATTGGACTGGGTTTTGAGTTATAAGGATAGGGTGGGACATTTTTCACTGGAGTGTAAGAGGTTGGGGTTCATAGAGGCTTATAAAATCATGAGGGGCACAAATAAAGTGAATAGCACAGGTCTTTTCCCTAAGGTGGGTGAGAGCAGAAAGATTTAAAAGGGACCTGAGGGCCAACTTTTTCCACACAGTGGATAGTTCATATGTGGAATGAACTGCCAAAGGAAGTGGTAGATGTAGGTAGAGTTACAACTTTTAAAAGACATTTGAATAGGTACATGAAAAGCAAACATATAGAGGCATATGGGCCAAATGCAGACAAGTGGACTAGTTTAGTTTGAGAAACTGGTCGGTACGAACAAGTTGGACTGTGCTGTATGACTATGATGTGGAAAGATGTTTCCTCTGAGAGTCCAGAAGCAGGGAGCACTTTTAAAATTAGGGGTTGCTCTTTTAGGTCAAAGATGTGGAGAATTTCTCTCAGAAAGTTGTGTGACTTTGGAACTCTCTGCCTCAGAAGGTGGAGGAGGCGGATTCATTGAATATTTTTAAATCAGAGGTGACTGGATTGTTGTTAGACAAGGCAATCAAAAGTTATAGGGGGTAGATGCAATGTGGAATTTGAAACACAAACAGATCAGCCATAATTTTACTGAATAGCAGAGTAAGCTTGAGGCCCCAAATAGTTTAGGAGCAGAAGTAGACCATACGTTTGTTATGTTTTGGTTATGTATCTGCAATACTAAGTGATGTTTCCATACCCATATACAAGGATATGTGTATTGAAAGCAATATTTTGTATATTAAGGTTCCTGGGATGAAGGGGTACTGACATCATGACAGAGTGAATAAACTGGGCCCCTACCCTTTGGAATTTAGAATAATGAGAGGTGATCTCATTGAAGCATACAAGATTTGGAGGGGGTCTGATTCTGCCTAGCTGAGGAATCTGGAACATGGTGATGCTGTCTCAGGGCAAGCGGAGAATCGTTTAGACCTGGGTTTAGGAGAAATATCTTCACTCAAAGGGTCGAGAATCCTTAGAAATCTCTACCACAGAGGATTGTGGACACTCCACTGTTGTATACAATTAAGGCCAGGAATCAAGGGAAGCGGGCAGCATGTAGGGAGTGCCGTTAAAGACAGGTATCAGCCATAATCATATTGACAGGTTGAGCAGGCTCAAATGGCTGACTGGTCTAATCCTGCTCCTACTTCTTATGTTCTTACAGCAAGTAGGCTGTATGATAGGAACCCATAATTTCTATACCAGCTCTGTGCTTTGCCAATCCAGAACTAATGTTCTTTTCATTGTCTCTTCTTTGGCCTGTACCTTTCTACTTTCAATAACTATCCAATTTTAAAAACATAAGAACTAGGAGCAGGAATAGTCCATTCAGCCCCTCAGGTCTGCAACACCATTCAACACAGTCGTGACTCATCTCATCTTAGCGTCAACTCCACTTTCCTGCCCGCTCTCCATAACCCCTCAACCCATTGCTAATTAAAAATATGTCTGTGTCCTCCTTAAATTTACTCAGTGTCCTGCCGTCCACTACAATCTGGGACAGTAAATTCCACAGATTTATGACCCTTGAGAGAAGTAATTCTGTTTTAAATCTGCCACGCCTTAGCCTAAAGTTATACTGCTTGTTCTAGACTGCCTCACATAGCAAACATCCTCTCTACATCTACTTTGTCAATCCCTTTAGCATCTTATGTACCTCAATTAGATTCCATCTTGTCCTTCTAAACCCCACTGAGTACAGACCCAAATTGCTGAATCTCTCCTCATAAGACAAGTTTTTTATCTCTGGAACTAATCGAGTGAATCTTCTCCGAACTGTCTCCAATGCAGTTAAATCCTTCTTTTCAAAGATGCAATGGTTTCTGCACCAGCTAATCACTGTGGCATAGAAAGTTATGCTGTACCAGCCCACAATTCAAAGGAATTCAGCTGAACCTCCTCCTTTCTTGGCGACCATTTTAAATTGTTAACCTCAACCAGAGGAACTAATCCCTGTTCATTGTACCCACATCCCAATGTAGTCCCTCACCTTTCCTCTTCAGGGCTGCACATATCACACACAAAATATTTATATAAAAAGACTGCTTTATGCAGAATACCTCCCAACGTTAAAAACATTGGCTGGAAAATATTGGAGATTTTCCTTACCCAAAGCAGCGACGGCGTACAGACAATTCACGATGCTGAAGTTGTCAAATTTGGAGCAATCACTCATGATGGACTGGCAGAGCTTTTGGAAATCTTCCAGCTCCAACATCTGGCTGTAATGTGTCATCATGGTGGATCCTGCTGGCAGCTGCTGCAGGACCTGACCAATTTTTTGCAGGGCAATTGGGTAATGATTGTAGGAGATCTTACCAGGGTTCTGTGTCACCCAGCGCAATACCTCTCCCACAGTCCGTGAGCGGTCAATCAGCCGCTTCATGGTGAAGAAAGTGTCATAGCTCATCTTCTCATGGATGAAGTTCCAGGTTTTCTTCTTGGTGGGATGATGATGATGATGGTGGTAATGAGGTTTGTGTCCATTCCGTCTCCCCTGGTACAGATGTGGGAAATGCTCTGGATAAGCTGCCCAGATGTGCGGCTTGCAGGTGTGGTAACAAGCTGTGTACATGGCAGCCGGGCCCTTTGGCACGCAAGCAGCAGCTGGGCGGCAGGCCAGGCGGAGGAAATGGAGAATGCAGCCCAGGCTGAGACAAGTCAGTCTGTCTAACAGCAGAACACTCTCACCCCTCGGCAGCAGAGAACTGAAGCAGCACAGAGGCAACCTTTGCATCTTAGGTATCGCTCACCTCGAGGGAGTATAGAGAACAGCAGAAACCTGCAGCAGAACAAAGCAGGACAGACCACTCAGAACAGCAAAGTGTAGTGTTTGACACCATAAAGTCAACCTGAAAGAAATGAAACTTCTCCACTGTCACCTGTCTTCCCACAACAGATAGTTGGAAGCCCAGCACAAGATGGGCCAAACACAGAGGGGCTCGAGGCCACACTTCAGAGTCCTGGAAGGTGGAACTGTTATTAAACACGTCTGGAGCAGGTTGGACTCGAACCCCGGTCTCTTGACCTAGATGTTAGGGCACCACAAGGGCCTCACTCTTGGAAGTTAAACATTGAGTAAGAGCATTGAGAGGGAAAGCAGAATCCCATTGTGGGGGAACCTCAAACTTGAGGACCACTCAACATTAACGGAGAGGTGAGGATGGTGTTTTTTTTTTCAGGGGTCATTAACTTTTGGGATTCTCAACTGCTCAGCATTGTTGAGACCTACTCATATTGGAGGCCAGGCTGTTTCTGGGGCTGACAATCGAAGGAGTATGGGAGGAGATGGGGGTGGGCAGGAATGTCGAATTAAGGTCAGAATCAGACTGACCTTGGTCTGTGTGAATAGGAGGGCAGGGCTGTAGGGGCCAAATGGGAACATGAGGAGGGCAATGTTGGAGGAAGTTCCAGTGGGCAGGGAGGGGAACAAATCTCACTGGGATGGGGTAGAAGACCCTCTAATAGTTGCAGGTTTAAAATAAAGATCACTCCAGATTACATAAACAGTAAACAGATTTTAGAGGAATACTATATAAAAAAAATTTGCTGTTGTATTAGACTAATTGATTAGATTAAACCAGAGGGGGATTCAGTGGCACGTTTGGGGTCATAAATAATGTCCAGGTTTTATATCCATTATAACCTGGACACCCTCCTCTTTCACCTCTCTCCCCCACCCCCGGGATCACACTGATCCCCCGGGGCCCGGACCCCAGACCCAGACCCACCGCCTCGACCTCCCCGAGCCCGGGAAACCTCTTTACTCCGATCCCCCGGCTCCAGGCCTCAGGCCCCGGCTGCTCGTTACACTCACATCCTCGGCCCGAGCGGCCTGGGCCCGGGCAAAAGCCGCGGCTCCTTCCTGATCCTGCAGCCGGCACCGCGCCGCCAGCTCCGGGCACCGCGCGCCCCCGACACGCGGCCAAGGGCGCGGCCCCTGAGCGCGCGCACCCGGCACGCAGCGCTCACACGCACAGCGCGTGACTGCGCGCAGCAACGGCTCAGATACCGTGACTGGGGGGGGGACCGTCGGAGGGTCAGCGCCGGGGGGGCGCGGCACCGTCGGAGGGTCAGCGCCGGGGGGGCGCGGCACCGTCGGAGGGTCAGCGCCGGGGGAGCGCGGCACCGTCGGAGGGTCAGCGCCGGGGGAGGGGGGCACAGTCACAGTCACAGGGTCAGCGCCGAGGGAGCGGGCACGATCCTGAGGGTCAGCGCCGGGGGAGGGGGGCACAGTCACAGGGTCAGCCCTGAGGGTGCGGGCACGATCCTGAGGTTCAGTGCTGAGGGAGGGTGGCACAGTCAGAGGGTCACTGTTGAGGGAGGGGCACCACCCAGAGGGTCAACTTGTCAATGTCCTTTTGGAGTTGCACACTCTCCTTCTCACAGTTTACAGTTCTACCAAGTTTAGTGTGATCTGCAAAGTCTTAAATTGTCTCCTGTACACCCAGATCCAGTTCATTACATCTGGAAAAGCAATGGTCTAAATTCCGACCCTTGGTAACTCTACTGCAAACTTTCCTCTGGCATGAAAAATATCCATTGGCAGTTACTCTGTTTTTTTGTCATTCAGCCAATGTTGTGTCCACATTGCTACTGATCCTTTTATACCCTGACCAACAACCTTCTCAGTTCCTACTATCTCTGTAACAACCTTTCTCACAAGTCAGGCCAAGAATGCTGATGGAGGTGCTCGCCCCAGATGGAGCTCAGTACATTTTCTTATCGTTTCCCTCTCTTTTCTCCTTCTTTTTTGTGTTTTTTTCTTCATTTTTCTCTCAGCCTCGAACTTCTGGCCTTGGACTCTGCACAGACCTGGCGAGATGACCTCCTGGCCTGCTGTGGCAGCCTCTCGGCCCAGTGTAGCAGTCTCTCAGTGACCCGGCATGGCGGTCTCTCGGCCCAACATGATGGTCTTTTGGTGGTCTCTTGGTCCAGCGTGGACCTCCAGTCTTGAGGTGATTCCTCAAAGCCCACTCCCATCATGGTTAAGCACTTAAGAAAGACTATAATGTTTGAACTTTCAACTTTATTGCTTTATTTTCTACTTAAAACTAAGAAGGTCTGCAATGTGTAACTTTTAACTTTATTTCCTATGTTTTACGCTAACCTATAATTACTGCAATGTTTCACTTTTAACTTTGTTCTTTCTTTCCACCTTGTTCTTGTGGTGCCTTGTGTGATGACTTTATGTACTTTTCACTGTACTCCTGTACTTTTTGTGCTTGAGCATGTGTGACAATAAAATCAAAATCGAATCAAAGATAGTAAGAACTGCAGATGCTGGAGTCCGAGATAACACAGTATGAAGCTGGAGGAACACAGCAGACCTTCTACAGAAATGGCTGAGGAAGGGACCCGACCTGAAACGTCAAATTTCCTGCTCCTCTGATGCTGCCTGGCCTGATGTGTTCCTCCAGCTCCACACTGTGTTATCTCAAAATCAAATCAACTTTGTTATACGGCACTGTGTCAAGCATCTTCTGGAAATCCATGTATACCATATTGGCATCAATATCCTCTTCAAGCCTTTCTGTTGCCGCTTCAAAAAAAATCCCAGCAAGTTAGTTAAAGTAGACTTCCCCTTTTGAAATCAATGCTGACTCTTCCTAATCAACTCACATTTTTCCATGTGACAACTGATTCTATCCTGAATAATTGTTTCTAGAAGCTTCCCAACTACTGAAGTTAAACTGACAGGTCTATAATTGCTGGGGTTATTCTTACAGCCTTTCTTGAACAAGGTTGTAGTTTAATTTTCTGGTACCTTCCCTGAGTCCAGAAAAGACTGAAAGATTATGACCAGTGCCCACAATTTCTACCCTCACTTCCTTCAAAATTCCTTGGATATATCCATTAAATTGTGTTGAGAAGTTTAAGGATTGAAAAGTGATATTCTTCTCATGGAGCTTATTTATTCAATCACTTAACGTAGATTGTTTACATTTCTAGGGAGCATAATGTAATAGCCAATGCATTATCAAGAATGTGACTGTGGTTAGATATAGGGTGGTGCCAAAGACATTTTGCAAACTGCAAAACTCAAGTGAGTTTTGGAAAATTAAAACCGATGCATCGATTATCTCATTAGCCACTTTTTAAGACCCTAGGAGGAAGTTCATCATCCTTGTCAACTCACAGCTCCAACAATTTGTTTAATCCATTTCTTTGGTGATTGTATTTTCCTGAGTTCCTCCCTTCTTTCCATTTCCTGATTTATCACTTCTCCTTGGATGTTACTTGTATCCTCTTTAGTGAAAAGTCAGGCTAAATATCTGTTCAATTCATCAGCCATCTCCTTATTTACCATTATCAGTTCTCCAAACTCACTTACTAACAGGCCACAATCACTTTCTTAACACTTTCTTCTTTAAATGTTTGTAGAAACCCTTACTATTTATTTCAATATTTCTGGCTAGTTTTCTCTCATTCTGAAAATTTCCCCTCATTTATTTTTTTGGTGACTCTTTGGATGAAATATATATAAAAAAGCAATCTTCTGACCTGCCAGATGTCTTTGCAAAATTATTTGCTTTTTCTTTAAGTTTTGTACTATCTTTAAGATTTCTAATTAACCACGGATGGCAAGTCTGTCCCTTGCAAAATTTCTTGTTCATTGGAATGTATCTGTCTATTCCATGTGTTAAAGACATCCACTTAAATACCTGCCAATGTTTCAGATGTGACATAGGGCATGAGATTTGTGCATATTTTTATGTTATTTATTTTTGAGTTTGGAATTTGAACTTGAACTAGTGGCATGTGAGCTTCTGTGTGCATCTGAAGTAGCAATGGTGATTTCATTCAGAATAGGTTTAAAGAGATACCTCCAAGAAGTAATGGGTTTTTGTTTACATTGGGAGAGTTTAGGTGCAAACACTGTACACATTACAGTACATATGACTTTCTGATGGAAGATTCTGTTTCATTTAGTTTAGGGGGTAATGCCCATAGTTTGAAAAGAAACCTTTCCAATCTAGTTTTGAGTTAGGGGGATTCTTCAGAGTTCTTTGAAGATGGACGTGTGGTTCCTGATAAAGGGAGAAGATAATTTAGTTGTATAAAACAAAGAACTGGAAATCTGAAACAAAAACATAGGCACAAAGTGCTGGACAAACTCAACATCTGTGGAGAGAAAAACAGAGTTACTGTTTTGAGACCAGTGACCCTTTTTTCAGAACTGATAATTTAGATTTGCTAAATTTCTTTTGTGCAATAAACTGCTATTTTATTGTTAAACTCGAATCTATAATATTGCATGATTTTGTTCAGTGAGGAATCACCTGATTAAAACCAAAACAAACTATGATCTATTCAGCCAGATTTCAGTCTGGAATCGTATAATAACATCAGCTGGGATCATAGCATGAAAAAAAAAGCTAGTCGTTATAATAGTGATCATGAAGCTTGCATTTATGCTTATAAAAACCCAGTAAGTCCGCTAATGTCCTTTAGGGGAGGAAATCTGTAATCCTTACATGGTCATGCCCACACTTGACTCCAGACACACAGCAATGTGGTTGACTCTTAACTACGCTCTGAAATAGTGTAGCAAGTAAGCAAATCTCACATCCCAAGAAAGAGTAAGTGTTCAAAGACGGTAAAAATAAGTCAAAAATGAGGAGCAGAAGTAGACCATTTGTCTCCTTAAGTCTGCTCCACCATTCAAGATGATCATGGCTGATCATCTTGTGTTGTGAATTCCATATTCCCATCTATCTCCTAATAGCCCTTTGAGTCCTTGCCTATCAAGCACTGTCCACCTCTGTATTAAAAAGTATTCAATGGCCCCCATCTCCACAGCCTTCTGTGGCAGGTAGTTCCATAACCACACAATCCTCAGAGAGAAAATATCTCCACATCTCTGTCTTGAAAAGGCAAAGCCTAATTTTACAACAGTGCTCACTGGATCTGGACTGACCTACAAGATGATTTATCCTTTCCAGCTCCACTATGTAAACTCCATTAAGGATCTTATACACGTCATTTTTCACACTTCACAACACCAATGGAAACAAGATCAGATCATAAGACAATCTGTTCATTCCAGATATAAATCTCATAAATCTTTTGTACCACCTCCAAAGTAGTTACATCGTTTCTTAAATTTGAGATGAATCACCACCAATGCCCTGTCTGTCCTTTTAGTCTAATTCCTCTTGTAATAAGGAATAACATTCCACTAACCTTCTTAATCACTTGTTGAACCTGCACATCAGTTATTTTTGGCTCATGCAATAGAACACCTGCACCCTTCTATACCTTGGAATTCTATAATCATTCACTACTTACATAATGCTCTGCTTTATTATCCTACCATCGAGGTGAAAAGCTTCACATTTTCCCATGATGTACTTGGCAGTAAGTGAGATGCTTATTGAGGAACCAGTGCAGATGGGATGAGTTGAAATGCATCTTTCTGTATTGTCACCATTCTGTAATTTTGTGAAGTGAAAAATGGTGATTAAAGAAGTTATCAACACATTCCAGTGTCACAGTGTCAATGCTGACAAGTCTCAGTCTGGAAACACCTTTGATAAATGATATTTATCATCTTAACATTTATCATCTTACGGTCAAACAAAACTTTCCAAGTAGGAGGTCTGTGCATTTGCCACTGAAGAATCTCCTTGGTGTGAAATGTTAGTGCAGGATCAGCTGTGATTAAGACTTGGCTCACTTTTTTCCTGGATCTCTGAGCAAATTTAAATGGATTCTTGTCATTTCTGGTCAGTCAGTAAATGTGCTGGGTAGTTGATCTTGACTGCAGAAAACAGAAGATTGTGCTAAATTGTCCAAATCACAAGACAACCCCGTTTGACCCCACTGCAGATCTGAATGGGTACTGACGTTGTGGTGGTAGCTAACCTTACCCATCCTATTGTTAGAGAGAGAGGGGATTACACTGAGCAGCTTTAGTGACCAGCCAGTTTTCTCCAGTAGCTTAAATAGACTATCTCTTCTC